CTCCACCCACCTTCCACCCCACACCCCCAAAGGAAGGGCCTAAAGGAATTTTATTCAAATCAAAAAATCCAAAATGCACCACATCGTCATAACTTACATTTCATGAAGATCGGTTTAATCTTATCAAGCAGAATTTGCCTTTACCAAATACACACGTTGACCTTACTACGATCCTTCCCGCAACACTCGCCATTTTCGCTTTTGTTCGCGTACGATCAACGTGACCCCACATTTTCCTCTATCTCTCACAATTTGACCTGAAGCTGGCCTAGGTGATCCAAAGGCATGCTTTAAGGCCTTCACCTCTCTTAGGTGATTTGACGTGTGACTTGCCAGCCTATACCTCCTCCCCCTCCCCCTCTCCCTCCCCCTCTCCCTCTCCCTCTCCCTCCATCCTCCTACATGAAAAAAATGAAAGAGAGATGGAGGGGAGAGTGACGCAATCACCCATTCTTTAAAGAACTGCAACAATTGATGTCATTTCTTCCGATTAGGGCATTGGCATGGAAGGAAATCTAACATGCGTTCTTGAAAATTGGTACAATTGTCACCTCCTCTCCACCCTCACCCTCCACCACCTCCACCTCGAATCGTCTTGGCGGTAAATATTCTATGGAAATGCCCTAAAAAGTTAACTTGAAGTTTCTTTGGACAAAATTGGGTCAAATTGTAGCTCTATGGCAAGATCGGGCATTTTTCCCTCTTATCATCTGGGTTCTGGTAACTTTATAATAATTAGTTTTGCTCTTCTGTAAGTACCATAACCCCACTCTTAATAAATTAATTATAATTTAATAAAGTTTCTAAATTGGCGTGTTCGATTGACTTACCTCCACTTGGTGCGTCTTGGTCAACGTATACTCATACGGCAAAAAAGTCTATTAACCGGCAGTTGACTACTGACTTCAAATTACTATGACCCCACTGTATGTCATATTCGACCACTTCCACAATTCTCACCTTTCCTTTTTCTCTAATTTTATGTCTATCTCACTTTTACATCTGTGTTTCATTATTCTGTAACCTCCTCCCTGTAAATCCCGAAGTCAACTAAATGGCTAATGCTAATAATAATTTATTCATTGATATCAAATGGCAGGCGTTTTGATAGTTATCATAACCTCTTAAGTCGACTTCAAGCTCCACAGAGAGGGGGAACATCAAAGTCACAAAGAATCGATAGGGGGGAACAGATGAGTGGCTCAAAGTTGTAAGAGACCGACACAAAGGTAGAGAAAAAGGAAAGGTGAGTATTGTAGAAGAAGTCGAATATGACATACAGTAGGGTCATGGCAGTTTGAAGTGAGAAGTCAACTGCCGGTTAATAGACTTTTTTTATTGTATGAGTATACGTTCTCCGAGTGCACCACATGATAATTATCATAGAGCTTGCCATTTGAAATAAATAGATTTCCAATTTTTATTTACGTAACATAACAACAAATGGCACAACTACTAAGGCCTAGGTAAGATAAATTCGATCTGATCGGAAATTACCCTCATTCAATGTCAAATATATCTTTTATATTGAAAAAAATGAACCCTTCAATTATATTACGAGCCAAGGTTTTGTGGGACACATTATCGCTGTGTGCGTCATCGTATGCCTGCATGTCTGCTCGCCACTAACAGTGACCAATCATTAACCTCTGTTTAACCTAAGCCCCCATCCTGATCATGAGTAGCTCAATGCGTGTACGCTTTATCCGCAATACTCGTACTGAACAAACGTGCTCCGTGCTACACGTCTGTTTCCTTTATAGCTGGGCTATAGCTNATCTTTTATATTGAAAAAAATGAACCCTTCAATTATATTACGAGCCAAGGTTTTGTGGGACACATTATCGCTGTGTGCGTCATCGTATGCCTGCATGTCTGCTCGCCACTAACAGTGACCAATCATTAACCTCTGTTTAACCTAAGCCCCCATCCTGATCATGAGTAGCTCAATGCGTGTACGCTTTATCCGCAATACTCGTACTGAACAAACGTGCTCCGTGCTACACGTCTGTTTCCTTTATAGCTGGGCTATAGCTTGGCTGGCTCATGGAGTCTAGCTAGATGTAGGAGAATCCGCCATAGAGATTTCTGAGTCAGTCAGGCTTTACTAGCATAGCAATCCGCTACAGTTTCTACACCTTTTGAAAAATTTCCAAATAAATTCAAGACTATTTTGGTGTTAAGCATACACTGATCTATTTATAGCATTAATACTGATGAGTTGGATCTGTGTAGCGCACAACGTTATCAAGAAGGAACAGAAGTCTTACTCGCGCCCAGTCTAGAAGGTCGTGATTGTAGCGGATTGCTACGCTAATAAAGCCTGACCGACTCAGAAATCTCTATGGCAGATTCTCCAGCATCTAGCTAGACTCCCAGAACAAGCTAAGCTATAGCCCAGCTATAAGGGAAACAGACGTGTAGCACGGAATACGTTTATTCAGTACGTATATTGATAGCGAAATGTAATGTTGGCAAAGCAATTAGTTATCAGATAACTCTAGCATAATTCGCATGAACATTAATAGCTAAATATCTCTGAGTAAGCAGGATTTCTATTGGCCATTGATGAAATGTCCCACATGATTGTTGAGACCCCTCAGCCAACAACGGTAGGTGATTGTTGTGTTGACCCAATTGTATTAAAGGGAATAAACTTTGTGTGAGTAGCTCCTAAACTACAATAAACGTTCAGTTTCCTTCATACAGTAAAGGAAACTAAGCTAATGTTTGAAGCAACATTAAACATGGGAATTTGCCAGAGTAAGTTATTGAGGTTTGGAAAAAGCTTCATTATGTGGCATCTGCCACAAATTGAGTTCTGAAGACTAATTTCATACATAAAAGCAACTTTAGGGGATTAATCAGCTGGCAAAAGTTGTCTAGAAGCTCAGAACTTGAGGAAAAAACGTAAGTGCCCCAAGGAAGGTCGGAAACGACCCAACCACTTGAAAGATCTAAACAAAAGATAAGTTTTTGAATAATTAACAAAAAGTTTTTCATTTAACATTTGTTGAAATTATTGATTTAATCTAACAATGTAAAACAAATATTATCAAGAATTAAAGGGCACATTTTCAACATAGATTTCCACTGAAAATATGTCTTCAATGAAAAAAATTCTTAATATCTGGTCTACAAAGTGCTCCATGCAAAATCATAGCAAACAGCTACAGACTTACATTGCTTTGAGAATCCATGGGAACTCTTCGATTTAATATCACAGTTCTGAATATCAATTTTCAAAAAAAAATTAAATGAGAACTAACAAATGTTTAGCGTAGCAAATATGCGCTTGATCTAATTTGTCACCAATCATGCATACCAAAGAATAGTGGAGAAACTTTTGGTTTTCGGAGATTGAAGTTTTCTTTAATAATAACAAAATGTTTAAATTTTGCAATAAAATTATTGTAATATGAAGTGGCAACAATATTAGCTATTCCGTTTGAGAGAATTCGATTGAAATTATTGTCATAATATTTCGGAAAAATACTCTTCTACTCGTAAACTATGACTACAAAACGTGTCATATTTTTGTCGTTTATTTACCTTATAAGACAGCGCTAAAATATTTTTTTCATCTCTTCACCAAGTCGAAATATCTAAACACAAAGGTATTGACTATTCATAAAGGCGAATATATTGATAGGTTAAGATGAAAGCGTAGAACAGGTATTAGAATTGAGTTTCATGGAATCTGAGGAGCCTAAATTCGCCTGATCTTTGAAACTATCATATTGTTTCATGTTGAAACCCTTCAGAACATTACTTGCCTTTAATCATCTTGCTTTTCAATGGAGAAACCTGGGTAACGAGTTTCCAAGTAATTTCGGAGCCTCCCTCTGCACATACTTGTTTATATGATTCGTCTACCAAAAAAAAGGCCCATTGTCTTCGCAACTAACTTTCATTTGTCCACCCTTCAATCGCGTTATTACTCATTCATCAAAAGTAAATACTTTCTCCCTCCTTCTCGACCATCATCTCTTTGGCAACCATTTTAAGTTGTCTCAGCAAAATTTTTGTTAGAGCACATCCAACTTCACCTTTTCCTCCAATTTCCTTCCCTGATTATTAAGCCATATACAAAATAGTATTTCACTCCATTGCATTCCTTCCTCAAAGAAATCTCTTGCACACTCGAAGTTGAGGGCCATATTATCTGTCGCGTAGGGAGCAAGTGCGGTCCTGTACATAGAAACCTCCTTGCCAGACGTTAATCAAAAGTCCCTGCATGGTTTAGCAAACAGTTCGTTTGATTAAAATGAATTAGCGCCCTGTTAGCGCCACAAAACTCACACACACACACACACACACACACACACACACACACACACACACACACACACAAACACACACACACCGTACGTCTGTTTCCTCTATACCATCCAAACAAATTGAACTTGTCATAACGATTACTGAGCATAAGCCAGCCTCATTATTTTTATAACTCTTTACAAGGCCCATTTAAAATAGATGTTTCTGAGTTGTTGATGATTCCTCAAAACAGCAATTATTTATTATAATGGATGATTTATTATTTCATCGAAATCGAAATTAAAGAATACTGAAATTTCGTGTTTAAATTTTAGTTTCCCAAAGTGCGGAATTTTACCTCACTAAGACGCTGCCCCACGTATTTACCCCAACTGTGTCGAACGGAAATCGGGAACATGCTTTTGCATATCCTATGGAAGAACAAAATAAAGATTTTTTAAATAACATAAATATAAGTAAAACAAAACATTATAAAAAATAACATCTAACTATAGAGAAATATATATAATTTAAATATCTATATATAATCATACGCATTTCCTCCTCTGAATGGAGAGGGATCGGTTTTTGAGAGATCCAAGTATACAACGCAGTCATCTTCAAGGAAGGTTAGGCTGCTCTTGCCTGGTTCATCGGAAAGATCGTATTTCTGATCATTATACATCACATACTCCTCCCCACCTAAAAAATAAATAGCAAAAATTGTTTTACCTAAACAAAATCGCTAATAATAATAATAATTAAAATGCCAATAATATTGTCTAAATTCGTATGGTGTTTTACCATTGAGAAACATTTGAGTAAACTAGAAGGAGACATTGATGAGAGAAGGAAGTAACTACTGAGAGGATGACATCAAGATCCTCGTTTCACTTAAATTCTGGACCCATTGAGTGGTCAATCTTCACATATCCTGTTGTTGAAATTCAAAGGAGACTCCCTGTTTTTTGAGATCATAAACTCAAGGTATAAAGGACTCATTGATCATTTGATAGATCTCCGTGGTTGGTTATGCTGCCCTCTAACATAGCTCAAATTGCCAACTGATGTTAAAAGAAACCATTTAAATATACGCTCACTAAGATTGCCTTAAGTAATTATGAGTTTTGATAACTATATTGAACTTCTATTGAATTTTGCCAAAATTAAGGTAGAATATATCATCTACAAAGATCTCACTTAAATTGAATGTACTAAACAAATAAAAATTAAAAATAAAAAATTTTCTCTACTTGAATTAGCAAATAGGGGTAATGTGACCTAATAAAGTAGAAGCAAGACAAAGGGAAAATTGGGAAATAGCCTATCCAAATTGATAAATAAGAAGAATACCCATAAGCATTTGCGGTCACAAATTGAAAACTTTTAAAGTTGATCGAAAGGTAATGAGCAGTATGAATTTAGTATAAAAATTTTCCCAATGGTTTAACACTAAGAGTAGGAATGGTGGTAACAATAGGAAAACTAACTCATTTCAAGTCAGTTGAAAGCAAAAACACTTATTTTAATTTAACTCACTTTTAGCATCACCTTCCTTTGTCATCTGGAAGGTATAAGCTGAGGAGAGGGTGGTAAATGCCAGAAGTACGAGCAGACTGTAGAGGGCTTTCATGGTTGGAATGAAATGTTAATGAATGGACAGGAATTTATATGGAGGCGAATTCATGGTCACTGTTTACGAGCGCTTTAATTTGCATGTGCGCACATAGGCCAAAATTATGGAGTTGAAAAATCTTGTCAGAAAGTTCAGTTGACATTCGAAAACAAAACCTATTCAGACTTTACTAATATCTAATATAGTTGTAAGGATGAATCGTTTTAGCAAATGCAATCTTTCAACAGAAAGGGAAATGTAAACTGTGAAATGCATAAGCCATGGCTATTGGAAATCAATATTCCACTGTAACCACTCTGAACATACTAGAATGTCTTTGAAGGCACTAGAAAGAAACTCAAGTGAGGAAGCCAATTGCCAATAGTCTATTGCGGACTTAATCAAATGTATTCCAATCTCATCAATACTACTTGTAAACTACGCCTAACCGGTCCAATGCAGTAAACCATTCACCCTATCGCATTACCGTGCATGTATTTCGTCACCCTCAATCCCTCTATCTCCATTCATCCAAACATGTTACGTTATATCGATTCAAAATAATCTTTAACACATCTACCTTCGTTTAAATTTGCCACTGTAGCTACCTGGCAGCTACTGGAATGCCATTAATGTATCTGTGTGCTTGTGTCCAGCATTATCAACCCTGATACTGCATTATTGTGGATTAGCCTATTCAAGACGTCCTTGTTTTATTCGATGATTCCAAATTTATATTCTACTGTTGCCACTATCAGGTCGATATTCAATACTCCCTCGATTCATTAAACTGCCACTTTCTAAATATATCATTTATTGTTAAGGAAAGGCAATTACTGAAAAATAACACAGTCGATGTCATTATTGGCTAATTAGGAAATCAATCATTACTCACATATCCAATCCGATAGAAGTAAACTCATCTCCTCTTCCTCCTCCTTCTCCTCCTTGTCCTCCTCCTCTTCTTCTTCTTCTTCTTCTTCTTCTTACCGTTTTCATAACGTACAATTGAACAGATGTAAAGCCCCACAACCACCTTCAAATCCGGTGTCCAATAGAATTGGGTTCTATTAACTTCTAAGATTTTAAGTCTCTTATCTAAAGGCTCTTGTGCTCAATCTTTTGCTACTATTCATAACCACCCATGCATGTCATGGAATAGTGAAGAGTTCCGTTGTTTTAAAAAGAGATGGGAATTTACTTTAAATATTGCTTATCTTGGTTAACGTCACAGTTTTTTAAATTTTCAACTTTTCAAGCCTACTGTTCTAGCTTAAATTTATGACTAAAAAAATTGTCAGATGCGTGGCGCTTGTTTGCCTTCTATTTTTTCTCCACCGTTTCTTCATGATGACATATTTAAACACTTAGACATTGATTATTCCAAAAGGAGATTATGGGGCTGGTTTAAGACGAAAGTTTAGAATAGGTAGAAGTAGTGAGTCCCAAGGAATTAGAACAACCTAACTTCGTCCGAGCTTCAAAATAATCGTACTAATTATTGTTTCATGTTGAAGCCCTTCAGACTAATGCTTCTTTTTCACCACCTAGCTCTTCAATGGAGAAATCGATGTGACGAGTTTCCATATGATTTGGGAGCCATCCACTTCACATAAAGGCCTTTACTAATGACAGATCATTTTTTGGGTTAGCTATGTTTGAATTACCAGTGTCTTCGCATCTCGCTTTCATTCACCCACCCTTCAATTAGGGTTGCTACTCGAGGATATGAGCAATAAAACACTTTTGAGCATTCATCATCGTTAGATATTTTCGTCTTCTCGCTGAACACCTATTTGGCATCTAGCTTTGAGTTGTCGCAAGACATCCACTTTTGATAAGTTTGCTTTCAATCACATTATTGCCACAATCTCGTTTTTCTGCGAAGAACCACTCACAGGTTTGACCTTCTTAATTGGGAGTTTTGTTGTCAGAACATTAACACCCTTCTATCTTCGGTTGTGTAATTCTAGTATTGTTCTCATGACGATATTCTGTATAACCTTTAGTCTATTATCAACCACCTTACAGGAGGCAGTTCAGGATGACAAACCTTGGGGTCTTTAGGAATACACTATATTGGTTTCCAAATCCTCATAGGTCGCATACACTTCATCTAATGTTAGTTGAATTACCAGATAAACGAAGCTCATATCTTTTTTAAACTCTGTGTAACGTCCCCCTCTCTCTCTCTAGTGTAACTATTTTTTATATCAAATGGGAGGCGTTTTGATAGCTATCAATTGCCATTTAGCTCACTTCGGGCTTCAGAGACGAGGAGGAACTTCTAAATCACAAAAAGTCATGAGGGGGGGGGGTCAGAATAGCGATTTATAGATGTAAAAGAAACAGACTGACACAAAGGCAGAGAAAAGGTAAGGTGTGATGAGTACTGTGAAAGTGGTGAAATATGGCATACAGAGGGGTGATGGTAGTTTGATGCCAGAATTCAACTGTCAGTTTATAGACTTTTTTGCTGTTTGAGTAACGTTGCACAGGGTACATCACGTGGAAGTAAGTCTATCGCACACCCCACTATTGTAACTATTATTTCATCCGATTCACTGAAGTCGTCCTTTAAGTAAATAAGGAATTATTCAAAACACAAATTTGATAGAAGGGGTGGGCGATAGACTTACCTCCTCGTGGTGCACCCTGGACAACGCATTTTCTTACGGCAAAAAAGTCTATCAATCGGCAAACGTTTTTGACTTCGATTAATTATGATTAGCTTTGAAAAAGGCTATAAGAAAAATCGCCCTCGTCAGGGCGAATCACAATGTCTTCAGATCCTCCAGTGGAATGCTGGAGGAATGTCTCCGGACAAAAAGATCCAAATACAGAAAATACTGCAAACCTATGATGTAGACATTTTCACAATTATGGAAGCTAACATTTCGGATGACAAACTGAAGTATTACCAATTCCCAGGTTACACCCTGTACAATCTACCTAAGTACCGGCGAGTTGCAAGTGGAATTCTAACTGGAGTAAAAGATGGCCTCACCTCACACTACGACCTAATCAAGAGTATGGGCTCGACACAAGACAAATGTGAAATAATCAGATTAAATGTTTGGAAATGTCAAAACCAATTCAAGATATATGCAGTCTATAATCCTCCCCAGAATTGTCCAAACTTTGACTTTCTGAACATCTCACACAAAACCATA